CACTTCATCATGTATGGTTCCATGGGTTTGATCAGGATATAGTCATGTAAGCACCTCCTCAGTATGATACAGAACAGTTCCATCCCCTTAAAATTCTCCTATGCATCCTCTATGTAGTTAATCTTTCCTTTTCCTCAGCCCCTGGCAACTGCCAATCTGTTTTCCATCCCTACAGTTTTTCATTTTCTGGAATGTAATATAAACAGAATCTTTTGGGGATGACTTTTCCCTTAGCAAAATGCATTTAAAATCCATCCATGTTATAGTGTGAATCAATAGCTCACTTCTTTTTATTGTCAAATGATTTTCATTGTATGGATACCACAGTGTGTTCATCCATTCATCTGTTGAAAGACATCTTGGTGACTTCACTTTGGGGTAGTTATGCATAAAGCTGCTATACATATTTTTGTGTGAACGTAAGTTTCAAATCAGTTGGCTAAATAGCTAGGAGCACAGTTTGCCATATTAAAGCTCAGTAAATAGTTACAAAGTAAACACACTCATCAGCTAGCACCAGCAACAGAACAGCCCTCACCCAGTTATACATTCCCTCCTCCACAAAAGTCACAATTATCTTCACTTCTGTTGCCACACATTAATTTTGCCTGGGTTCAAGCTTTGAATGGATCAACTGATATGTTCTTCTTTGTGTCTGGCTTCTTTAGCTAAGTATCCTCTATGTTGGTGCATGTGTTGGTTATTTTCATTGTTCTATATAGTTCCATTGCAAATATATATTACAGTTTTGTCTTTAGGTTTTTGCTGGTGGATGTCTGGGTTTTTCCCAGTTTGGATAATGCTATGAACATTTCTTTCTTTCTTTTTTTTTTTTTTTAGAAGGAGTCTCATTCTGTTGCCAGGCTGGAGTGCAGTGGCGCAATCTTGGCTCACTGCAACCTCCACCTCCCAGGTTCAAGTGATCCTCCTGCCTTGGCCTCCCAAGTAGCTGGAACTACAGGTGCGTGCCACCAAGCCCAGCTAATTTTTTGTATGTTTAGTAGGGATGGGGTTTCATCATGTTGGCCAGGATGATCTCCATCTCTTGACCTCGTGATCCACCCTCCTTGATCACCCAAAGTGCTGTGATTACAGGCATGAGCCACCACACCCGGCCAAACATTCTTATATGCCTTTCTGTATCTACTTCTGTTGCTGGCTCACTGGGTAAGTGCATGCTCAGTAATAATAGACATGCTGAATCATTTCCAAAGCATTTATACCAATTTAAATTACCAATAGTGCCTTATGTTTTAACAGGAGCCCTCTGGCTGCTTCATTGAGAACTGACTGTTCAAGGGCAAAGGTGGGAGCAGGGAGGCCAAGAGAAAGGTTTCACAGTCATCCATGTGTGATTGCATGGGGCACAGCCCAAAGGGGTAGCAGCAGAAGTAGTGACAAGTGGTTGGATTCTGGTTGTACTTCAAAGGTAGAGTCAACAGGAATTTTCTGATGGATTGGAAATGGAGGATAGAAAAAGCGAACAAAGGTGTGTGGGAGGCACTTTGACTAATCATCTTTATGGATGGAATTGCCATCAACTGAGATCATAAGACTGCTGAGCAGTTGGTTTGAGAGGGAAGATCCTGAGTTCTGTTTGGCATATCACTTTGGAAATGTCTATTAAATATCCAAATGGATATGTCATGGAGGCAGCTAGAGTTCAGGTTAGAGGTCTGAGTCATTGATAAAACTTTGGGAGTTGTTGGCAAATGATAGTGTATTGGTCAGAGTCTAATTAGGAAAGAGAAGCCCCACAGTCATTTGAACAGGAAACGTGTATATAAAGAAGTGTTCATTGCAACAGGGAAGTGGAGTAACCAGGCACAGACTAGTAGGAAGTATAGAAGGAGCAACCACTAGTCTAGGGCTGAGGTAGAGAGCCCAGGAGAGTCCTCTCCTCTTAGTGCACCTCCCTTGCACCTCATCAGAGGAACCCAGTCATGGTCCTCTGCATGTCAGGAGAGTCACTGGTGCTATGTCACTGGAACTTACTAGAAATACTTCTTTAGGTGCTGGGGAAAGGAGTGGTGTCTCAGAAGAGTTACTCTATAACAAAACTGCCTGGAGCTGGTGGGAGGAGTGGGACCTGCTGGGCACTGGCCACTGGGTTTCTGGAGAAGACCCCCACCTGCAGGAGCCAGGCCAAGCAGCACAGGAGAACCAGGAACAAAGACTGCTTTCGCCTGCAAGGTCTCTCCATTGCTCTCTACTGACAAAACCTAACATCATGTCTGAGGGAAATATTTAAACAGCCCAGTTCAGTTTTTGCAGAGCAGGCAATGAAGAATGAGTTTATAGCAGAGATGCAATAAATTGATAACTGTATTAGTCCATTCTCTCACTGCTATGAAGAAGTACCTGAGACTAGGCAATTTATAAGAAAAGAGGTTTAATTGGCTCACTATTCTGCAGGCTGCACAGGAAACACGACAGCTTCTACGGAGGCCTCAGGAAACTTTCAATCGTGGTGGAAGCTGAAGGAGAAGCAGGCATATCTCACGTGGCTGGAGCAGGAGGAAGTGGGGGGCGGGGAGGTGCTACACACTTTTGAACAACCAGATCTTGTGCGAACTCTATCACGAGAACAGCACTAGAGGAATGGTGCTAAACCATTCATGAAGACTCTGCTCCCATGATCCAATCGCCTCCCACCAGGCCCTACCTCTAACATTGGGGATTACAATTCCACGTGAAATTTGGGCAGGGACAGACCCAATACATAACAATTACTGACACAGATGGAATATAAAACTGAGACAGAATGAGATCATCCAGGGAATAAGTATAGACACAGAAGAAAAGAAAACTGAAGCCCGAAACCTATGGCCTTGCTCTAATTTAAACAGGTGAGAGCAGGGGAACCAGCAAAGGCAGCTGAGAAAGAGCAACCAGGGCTGCAGGTGGAGTCCTGTGAGACAAGTGAATCAAAGAGAATAGGAGAGGGGCCAGAGTATGTATTGACCGTTCTTTTATGAAGTTTTGCTGCAACAGGGAACGTAGAAAAGGTGCAGGTCCTGGTATAGGAAATAGGGTCGAGTAATTTCTGTGTTTTGAAGATGACAGAAATAGCTGCATGTTGTGTGATGATGAGAAGAGTCCAGTAGAAAGGAAAATACTGCTGATGTTAGAGAAAGGATAGGCTGGCTGGAGTGACACCCTGGAGCAGTAAGAGATGATGGGATTTAGCAGTCCAGTGCAGGATTCTTTGGCTGGACATAGCGGTTGTTCATCCACAGTCACAGGCAGGCAATAGGAGGCAGATGGGTGGAGGTGGAGGTGGGAGTCTGTGGAAGACTTTGACCAATTCTATTCTTTTAGTAAAGCAGGAGGCAAGGAAGGGAGAGGCAGTGGGAAGGATTGAACAGAGAGAAGGAAGTGTGAAATATTCACTTGGAACAATGGGAGATTGAATAGACCAGGCAAAGAATGATTAAAGTGAGGACTGCTGGCATGGTCCTGTTTTCCTCCAGCCATGTTTAGTTGCATTGTTGTGGCATGGAATAGATGGAGAGCTGGGTTTATCCAGTGCCCCCATCTTACCAAGCAGATAGAAGGTGACAGGGAGGTGCATGAGTTAAGGAGGTGTGCAAGGGATTAATGAGAATGGTTGGCCATGGAGTTTAAGCTGGCTCACTAGAGAGGGCCATAAAGGAAGGAAGAAACAGTGAACAGGTAGTAAGATCTGGATTGGAGGTGCTGGTAAGGTTGCAGGAGTTTTGTTTCAGGGCGGTATAGGGAGTGACCTGGATAGACAGGAGGTGGTGGTCAGAGTGGGATACTGTGGGGGTTGCAGTCCTTGGACCTGACAAGGTCTGAGGTCTGATCATGGAGGGAGGGGGAAGCTAAGGTAGGGCAGAGGACTGGAGTGGGCTTCATGAGACCAAAATGACGTTGGAAGGATTATCTATCTGGATACTGAAATCTTCAAGAAGTAAGCGGTGTAGTGTGAAGAAGTTACAATATTCTAAGCTCTTCACGGATAAGGGAAGCATGTGCCACGTAGGTAGCCTCTCTAGTCCAGCACCCAGTATATAGCATATGCGGAGTGAATACCTGGGGGCTGCTGAAGGCCAGAACAAGGTGCCTGTGAGAGGACCTGATGCCTGGGGTTCTCGTGACAGGAGTGGGCCTAGTTTTTGGTGTAGAATTGAGCCTTGAATGCACCAGCGGGATCATATTGAAAAGAAACCTTCTAAGACTACAGGAAGATGCATCCTCTGACAATGTACGCTCTGTAGGCATCCCAAGTAGCTGGGCTGGGGATTAGGTGGACTCCAAGGCATTTCCTCAGGTGGCAATGGGCGGATCCCTGGGAAGGCAAAGCTGTGCAGGAAAAAAATGGCAAGATGCTCTATTCCCTCAGGGAAAGCCCTTTCCTGGGAGCAGGGAAGGCGAGGCAGTTTGGGCTTGGTCAGTTTGTCCCTGCCCTCAGGGTTTGTTGGTCCTGGCAAAAGAGGGCCTTTTATTTATTTTTCTTAGAGACAGTGTCTTGCTCTGTCGCCCAGGCTGGAGTGCAGTGGCTCATCTCAGCTCACTGTAAACTCCACCTCCTGGGATCAAGCGATCCTCCCACCTCAGCCTCCAGAGTAACTGGGACCACAAGCACCACAGGCGCCCGGCACAACGCGGCTAATTTTTTTTTTTTTCTTTTTTTAGAAAGAGAGAGTTAGTCTCCCTATGTTGCCCAGGCTTGTCTTGAACTCCTGGGCTCAAGCGATCTTCCCGCCTCGGCCTCCCAAAGTGTAGGGATTACAGGCGTAAGACCCCGCGCCCTGCCAAAAGAGGGCTTTAGGGCACCCCAGAACGCGAGATCCCCCTCATCTGTCATCTTTAAAGAGGAGGAAGTGGACTCCAAATCGAGCGATAGTCCATTCGTCCCTGGTACGGTGACTGCCGGGAGGCCAAGACCAAATGTGTCTCCTTCCGGCTTTTGCACCACACTAACTAACAGGCGCCAGGCCGCAGAGCCGCCCTGGCCTTCGGCGAGGACTTGGGCGAGTGCGGTGCTCGCTGCTCCAGAGTCCCACCGCGGAAGTTGAGGCCGCGGATTCCGAGGGCGGGGTGGAGCGCGTTCGGTAAGTACCCGGACCCGGTGAAACGCACTGCGTGGACTGCGCCTGCGTCCGCACTCAGCTTTTCAGCAGTCTTTCTTCAGGCCCTGAAAGCCGTCCCCACGCCGGTCTCTTTTTTCTGCCTTCTTGTTTCCCTCCGGCGAGTCGGCGCGACGGTGAATTTCCGTTTCCGGCGGTGTCCATGCTGAACTGAAGAGTCGCAGTTGCCAGCAGGTTCAGTACAGCGGGCTGGGGTAGGCGGCGGGGGGGTCCCTGATTCTGGGGCACTGGGAGGATCGCGAGTCGTGCGCGTGGGAAGGTCCTTCCCCGGTCCTCCGGGTCATCTTTGCTCCCGAGGAGCGGCATATTTCTCATCTGCCGGAGGTGTCCTGTGGTAGTTGGGAGAGTGACCGGATGAATCCCTGCAGAGAGCCCGGACAGGGAGGGAAGGTGGCTGGGAGACGTAGTTTCCTGGCGACGTGGTCTCGGCAGGCGACTTAGACCTGAGCCGGATCTGTTGACCCGAAATTGTGCTTTTCCCACCAAAAAAAGACAGGGAGAGAAACATTAGTACAAGTTCCGAACTAAAATATAGCAGAGAAGAAACATAATCATTGAAATCACACAGCTCTTCAGTTTCAAAGCGTTCCTAGCGCCTAGCTCTTCTAACTCCCGGCCAGTGTTCTTGACATTATGGTGATATATAAAGACTTTTCTGTTTCCGCTGGTGTGTGAGTCTGTGGGAAGCCTCTGACTCACCTCCGTGCTCCAGTAGCACCTGTGCAGCCTTCCAATGTCGCCCTTATTGCATGGCGCGGAAGATACTAGTTTGGATTTCCTCTGCAAGTCAGACCATAGCTGTATCCATTTACTGGCACAGTGCCTAGCACATCATAGACAGACAAAATATTTATTAAACTGAATGAATACAGTACCTTAATTGAATGAAATAGTATCCTGCTCCCCCCTTTTTTTTAAATCAAGCTGTCAGATTTTATGAAGCCCCATTTCCTAAAAAAAACTCACTAATTTAGTGATTACCAATTTATTAGCCACAGATTCCCAGGTAACTCAGAAATCACTGGAAGGGTCTCTGTAAGTTCATGGGGTCTCCAGGTATCATCTAGAACCAGTCCTGTCTCACAAGTTAATACTTGACAATTATATATTGTCTGTTGTACTCTTTATAAAATGTGCTAAGATATTGCTATTTCTCAAATGTATATAAGTAAATTGTAATTTAGGAGTTTTACAGAGTCAACAGGTACTAAAAGTAATACTGCGATCATATTGGAAGTTCATAAAAACGTTTTACATTTTTTTATTAAAATGTAAGTTTTAGTTTAAGTTGGGAAACCACTTCTTTACTCCAGTTGATACTTAGGTCTGAGCTGTCCGGTGTGGTAGCCACATGTGACTTTAGAGTTAGAATGAAATTAATTAAAAATTCATTTTTTCAGTTTCCCTAAGTATATTGTTAAGTAACCACATGTGGCTGATAGCTAAATGGCTGAAAAGTACAGATATAGAATATTTCTATCCTTGCAGAAATAGATACTGCTGATGTTGACACTTAAGATGAATAAAAAGTAACAGCAATAAAATGTAACTTTAGGAGAGGTAACTCATCTAATTTATAGCATAACAGAGAGAAATGAAATTGGCAATGGTTAAGCAATTTCTACCCTTGTTCAGTAAATAAATACATCATCTCTTCATAAAGAAATAAATGAAATTTACTGTTTTTCCCTGGGTATTGCCTGGATTGTAAAATGCTTCTCCCACCTCCTTACCCCAACCTTCTTCCTTGTAGGTTAGAGTTACTTGTTATTGGTAAATAGCTACAATGGAGACTAAAGACCAGAAGAAACACAGAAAGAAAAACAGTGGGCCCAAAGCTGAAAAGAAAAAGAAGCGGCATCTGCAGGATCTCCAGCTAGGAGACGAAGAAGATGCCCGGAAGAGAAATCCCAAAGCTTTTGCAGTTCAGTCTGCTGTGCGGATGGCTCGATCCTTTCACAGGTATGTTAGGGTACAGTCTGGTCGTTCTTCCATTGATTCTTTTTAAATAGTAGGAGCCTCTCACAGGTGACATTTGGATTCATGAGTCTAGTCCAGCTCCAAAGGACATGGAGATGCGTGGTGTGTGGCTTTCACTAAAACGTGAGAAGCTTTCCCATAGAAGCTGCCTTGCCTCCAGCATCTGCACACTGGTTGGTGTTTATTGCCCAAGATGCAAGAATTTATAGAATTTGTTTGTTCCTAAATTTTAAACTGTTTCTATGGTGATAAGTGTGCTTTTTTCCCCCTAGGTATGTTTTACATAGTTGTAATATAAAATACAAAAATTACAATATTTAATACTAACATAGCTTTATTTAGTGTGCCCTTGTGATATGCCTAGCGGTATACTTTAAACATTATTCAACTAAATGCTTCCAGCAGCCTTACCAGAGTAGGAATCATTCTTGCCCTCATTTTATGGGTAAGAAAACTGAGGTCAAGAGAACAAGTTACCTCCAATCATGTAACCAGTAAGTAGGAGAGCCAAATTTAACTCCAGAGCCTCTGCTCTGTTATGATGCACTGCCTCGGTATTTACCTTTTGGTTTTTTTAAAAACTATTAAAATCACTCTTAAAACAGTCAGATTTAAGGAGTGTTTAATTTTCAGCTCTCTATGCTATTGAAGTCATCTTGTTACATCTTTATTGAACAGCAGTTATTTGGATGGGGCCAGAAGTTAACAAGTTAATAACGGACAAGTTAATTATATATTGTCTGTTGTCCTCTCAATAAAATGTGCTAAAGTACTCATATATATAAATGTACTAAAAAAGTTTACTTATGAAGTTGATAACCTTTTACTCTATTTTGAAAGTGAGTTTACTATTTATTTATTTATTTATGTATTTTTAATGAATAGGACTCAGGATTTGAAGACAAAAAAGCATCATATTCCAGTGGTTGATCGAACTCCACTGGAGCCCCCACCAATAGTGGTAGTGGTGATGGGGCCTCCAAAAGTTGGAAAGAGCACTTTGATACAATGCCTCATTCGGAACTTCACCCGGCAGAAGCTGACCGAGATCAGAGGCCCTGTGACAATTGTGTCAGGTAGGAGATGCCGCAGCAGACACAGAGTTGGCGTGGCTGTTGTCATCTGAGGGACATGCATGCATTTGTTGTTTTCTTGAGCGGAACATGTTAAATATTGTCATATCATGTTACCTGTCTTATACTTTTACTAAGTTGGCTATAGCTTCAGAAAAGGGTAAGTTCCCGGAGATAACTTACCCGGAGATAAGTTCCCGGAGATAACATGTGATAATGTTCACATTGAAAATGTGCACGTTTGCCTTATGAAGCCACATTCTGGTGGAAGTGTGAGTTTTCTCTTTTTCCTATGAGAATTGTCTGCTTTGGGAGATGGTGACCTTTCCAAGTTTGAGGGAAAATGAAACAAACTTCCAGTGGTAGAATGGGAATGTGCAGTCTGAAATCTCTTGTTATTGCAATAGTATAGTTGGATTGAGGCTTTTCTTTATCTTTGGAGCATCCATATTTTCTTTTCCCTTTTTTGAGACAGAGTCTTACTCTGTGGCACAGGCTGGAGTACAGTGGTGTGGTTACAGCTCACTGCAGCCTCAACCTCCCAAGTTTAAGCAATCCTCCTACCTTAGCCTCCTGAGTAGTGTATGCCACCACGCCTGGCTAAGTTTTCTTTTTTTCCCCCTTTTTTTTTTTTTTTTTTTTTTTTTGTAGAGATGGGGTTTCCCCATGTGGCTCAGGCTGGTCTCAAAACTCCTGGGCTCAAGGGATCTGCCTGCCTTGGCCTCCCACTGCACCCAGCCCATATTTTCTTGACCATTTTCTTTTTACCTTAATTTAGAAATAATTATTGTTATGAATATTCTGTTGCATTATGTTTGAGGATGTTTGTAGCTATAGTGGGAATACGGGAAGTTTTGATAGAGGTAAAGACTTTGGCCTGCAGCTGAACAGCAAGATCATGGTTATCATGGAGCCTGTGCAGTCCGAATTTTCCCTGTTTGAGCACTTTTATTCATCTGGGTAGACTTTTGATATTATTTAAATTTAGAACACAGCAAGAAAAACAGAATGGAATTTATTTTATTTTACCAGTTTTTGCCTATAAAAACGAACTTCTGGTACACTCCTGTAAACTTATATGATGTTTTACTGGATGCAGTTAAAAAATGAAACTTAGAGTTGATGGTTAGAGTTTTTTTCAGGATCTTTTTAAAGTAAAATTTTCATCTTTTCACGTATAGGTAAAAAGCGCAGACTCACCATTATTGAATGCGGGTGTGATATTAACATGATGATTGATCTGGCTAAAGTAGCAGATCTGGTAAGTCAGCAGGGGCAGCCTGGGGTGCTGATGGAGACTTAGAGCATCGTGATAGGTTATTTATCCCGTGATGAAAGGAAGAGAGTCCTATGATTATTAAAGGAATCATAGTCATCATCAGTAATACAGTAGATATGATTGAATTGATGATAATAATTATGGTAATAAATGTTGTTATATTAATAATAAAAATGGAATGTGCACAATGAAATGTATTCCAAAATCTAAAAGCAAATCACGGGATGGAGAAAACCTTTAATGAACACAACTAATAAGAGCTTATTAATATGTATACATATATATGTACAAATATATCATAGTAAGTACCATTTTTTCTTGGACTCTTCCTGGCACTGTGCTAACTGCTTTCTACAAATTTAGCTTACATAAATCCTTGATGCACCCTTGAGGTGAGTAGTTATTATCTGTAGTTTACATAAGATGAAATAGAGCCTCCCAGCAGTTAAATAACTTGTGTGAAGATGGGACCCTTGTTCCTGATGGTTCCAGAACCTTCATCCTTAATGATAATGCTGAAGTAAGTACATGAATTGCCCTGAAGAAGTGGTCAGAGTTTAGCAATAAAAAATCTAGACAGTACTCAGTGTATGGAAAATGTACATACTCTTGCATTTATGGAAATGATAATGTTCACTGTTGTGGTATTCTATTAACTTACGTTTTAAATTAGAAAAAATAAAAACAAATTAGCAAAAAAGTAAGCCATATTGATGAGGAAGTGTGGGGTGAGAGATACCTTGGTTTTTTTTAGACAGCTGTTTGGTAACAAAGAGCTACAGATTTTATACTTTGGCCCAGGAATACTCCTAAAATATGAAGTAAAAAGTAATACACATTTTAAAGTTGTGTCATTGTAATGTCAGAAAACTAAATAACATTCAAATTTTGAACATGTAATGTTACTATTAGTAAAAATAAGTGTTATTAATGTAGTGTAAGCTTACTAAATCTTATGTACTTGAAATGATCAAAATAGTTCATAGAAGTCATTTGTTTCTCTTTTATGTAAAATGTAGCAAGTTTCTAATATTAAAGACATGTATTAAGAGATGTTTTTAATTTTATTTTTAATTATTATGGATACATAATAGTTATACATATTTATGGGGTACATGTGGTATTTGATAGAAGCATACAATGTGTGATGATCAAATCAGGGTAATAAGGATATCCATCACCTCAAACATTTATCATTTATTTGTGTTAGGAACATTTCAGTTTCATTCTTGTAGTTATTCTGAGTTATATAATAAATTATAGTCCACCCTATTGTGCTGTTGGACACCAGAATTTATTCTGTCTAACTGTATTTTTGTACCTGTTAACCTTTCCCTCTTTGTCCCTCCCTCCCTGCTCCCCTTCCCAGCCTCTTAACCATCATTGAGAGAGATGCCTATTACGTAAATCTTTTAAAGATTTTTCAAAAGGAACACACACATTTGGTAAAGTACTCTAACTGTAATGCAGGATACGCACAATGTGCATTTTTCTTTTTCCTTGGTGTAACCGCTGGTCATTCAGATCCCTGCAGAGCAGTATCCTTCTAGATGCATATAAACACGCATACCACCCTTTAAAAACACAAATGGTAGCTTATTTTACACACTGTTCTATGCTTTGCTTTTTTCATATAATGTATCTTGGAGGTATATAATAAGTACTGTAACTCTGCCTCCTTTTTAATATAATATTCCATTTTATGGAGGCACCATGATTTATTTAGCCTAGCTTATGTTGATTGCTCTGCTGTGGGTTGTCAAAGCCTCCTGTGTACAGCAAAGGCACACACAATACATGAATTTGGGTGTGTACGTGCGTGTGTGGATTAGGGGAGTAACACTGGCTTAGATGACAAAGACTGGCAGCTGAGGGACTGTTTGTTCTCCGTTCTTCCTGACCCTACAACCAGCTGCTTGCCCCCTGGCACTCTGTGACATTAAATGTAGTGTGAGGATATTCTGCCTGTCCTTTGAGCTGGTCCAGTGTTGCTGGAACGCTGTGCTTGCTGCCTCAGTATGCAGTGGCAGCTGTGCTTTCTCACAAGCCCACCTTCATATATTCTGTGGTTTCGGATTTTGAGTGTTGCCTAGTTTAATCAAAGATGGGCATTTCTGTTTCCATTTTTCTTTGTTGTTAATTTTAGTTATCTATGCAAAGATAAGAACAGAAATGTTTTTAATACTTAAACTAGAAGTTTCCAGGAATCAATTCTGAAATTATTTTGCATCTTTGAAGCATCTTAAAAGTTAAAAATTGGTCTCATCTGCTTATATTTTCTTATAGACTACCATTCATCATAATCTTACTGTTTTTTTGACCTAATTCTAAAATGGCAGCTATTTAAAAAAAATTTCTTAACAATTGAGTTATCCAAATTAATATATAAGATAGAGGTTTCCACTGCGTACTTCTCAGCAAAAAACAGATTTTTTTTTCTATGAGGAGATTGAAAGAAGAGATTGGTTTTCTGTACATATTTAATATATTTCATTGATTATCACTTTCTTCCCATTCTTTGGATGTCAGAGACCTGTTATTTGGCTTAAAAATACCTTACAGAAAACTTGATTTCTTTAAATTAGAATTTCTTAGGTAAGGGCCAGGTGAGACCCAACCTTTTCTGAGTTACTTCTCATACATTAAAATTCTTATAATGGAAGTTTGCATCCTAGTGGACATCGTCTTATGGTTGGCTTTTAGAGCAAGTCAGAGGGTGGTGGTTTCTCTGTCTGGGTGATGCCTATGTAGTTATTTGATTTAGTCTGGAGTGCGACTTTTCTGTTGAGGGCCAGATAGTAAATATTTTTGGCTTTGTGGATCATATCTTTTACAGCTACTTAGCTCTGCAGTTGTAGTGCACAGGCAGCCATAGGCAAAATGTAAATGAATTAATGTGGCTATGTTCCAATAAAACTTTAGTTACAAACACAGGTGATGGGCGGGATTTTGCCCGTGGCCAGTTGCCAACCCCTAGTGTAAGTGGTCTGTTTTGGTAGTTTCTTTGAAAAATGATGTGTTCTGCTTTTAGGTACTGATGCTTATAGATGCCAGCTTTGGGTTCGAAATGGAAACATTTGAGTTTCTAAACATCTGTCAAGTACATGGCTTTCCTAAAATTATGGGAGTTCTCACCCACCTCGACTCCTTCAAGCATAATAAGCAACTGAAGAAGACAAAGAAGCGATTAAAACACAGGTTCTGGACAGAAGTTTACCCGGTAAGAGGAGAAATGATTGTTGGATACTAGCAGTATAATCCTTTTAAAATAGACTGAAGAGGCCGGGCGCAGTGGCTAACACTTGTAATCCCAGCACTTTGCAAGGCAGAGGCGGTCGGATCACTTGAGCCTAGAGTTTTGAGCTCAGGGCAACATGACCAAGCCCCATCTGTACTAAAAATGCAAAAATTAACCGGGTGTGGTGGTGTGTGCCTGTAATCCCGGCTACTCAGGAGGCTGAGAAGTGAGAATTGCTTGAACCTAGGAGGCAGAGGGTGCAGTGAGCTGAGATCACGCCACTGCACTTCAGCCTGGGTGACAGAGTGAGACTCTTGTCTCAAAAAAATAAGTAAAAATACTGAAGAGACATTACTAAACGTATCTCTAGGATTCGCCTCCTGAATTCCGTTTGTGTATGTTCACAGTCCCTGGCCTCCTGAATTCCTTTGTGTGTGTGTGTTCACACTCTATGGCCTGCTGAATTCCTTTGTGTGTGTGTTCAACCTCTGGCCTGCTGAATTCTTTTGTGTGTGTGTGTTCACAGTCTCTGGCCTGCTGAATTCCTTTGTGTGTGTGTTCAGTCTCTGGCCTGCTGAATTCCTTTGTGTGTGTGTTCAGTCTTCTGGAAGGTTTCCCTCAAGAGAGTGCTTGTTCTGGGCTTCTTGGTGTATCTCATTTGTCTCTGTACCTGCTGCGCCAGGCAGTGTCTGGCTGTTTTGGGGTCGGGACTTTATATAGAGTACATCAGAAATTTCTCCTAGTTACAGGACCAGGCACTGCCCCTTCCTTTCTATACTGTTCTGGTCCATCGGCCACAGAACCATTTCTGTGCTCAGACGCCTCACCTCCCTCTCCTCACCATACTTAGATGGATGCCCCGGCTCAACTGCAGAGCAGTCTGCCTCTGTGGGGTTCTAATAAGTCCTGAAAGAAGCCAGCAAGGCCCTGGAAGCCTCAGGACAGTGGCTTTGCTGGAAGTCTCCCTTCTTAGGATTGCTTCTTGTTTAGAACTTTTATTTTGTTGCAGTATTGATGAGAATTTAATTGAAATTTAATTTTTAATTTTGCTCTAATGTTTAGGGTGCCAAGCTGTTCTACCTTTCTGGAATGGTGCATGGAGAATATCAAAACCAAGAAATCCACAATCTGGGCCGTTTTATTACAGTTATGAAGTTTAGGCCTCTCACATGGCAAACTTCTCACCCTTATGTCCTGGCAGACAGGTAAAAAGTGATTGTAAATTTTTTCTTCTTGGGCCATATATTTCAAAGCTAAAAAGGCTAGAAAAAGAACAGTGATAGGATTTATTTTGTGCCTGTTTGAATAGTGGGGATAGTAGTGTAGTTGATGGGAAATGTCTACTTATATCATTGCTCAAAGATGCTGTGCCTTTGGGAGTAAATTAATTATGAGATGTTTAGGAAAATGGGAGGACTTGGAAGCATTTAAGGCTACATCCTATGTTCAGCCTCAGTTTTGAGTGATGCTGCCTTCGTGCCCGGGTGCTTGAGTCCTTCGTGTGTGCCTTCAGTTTCCTTCCTTTGTGCTCTTCCTCTGTGGTTTTCTCAGCCTGGGATACCCTTTTTCCACCTGCCAGAATCCAAGCCACAGTAAAAATCCCAAGCACAGGCTCACTCTCTTCCAGCAAGGGATTTTCTGAATATGTTCTTCACTCTTCCCGACCCCAGGTGGATTCATCTCCCTGTCTGGTGTCTTCTGGAATGAAATGTCACTTTCAGCCTAGAGACACAGTTGTGTGCCTGCCCTTTTCCTCTGGTGGATGGGGAATGGTGCTTCTTTATTTCTGCATTTTCTAGTTTTCTAAATGATGTGCTTAGTGGACAATAGTGTGATGAGTCATTGACACCTGAAAGGAGGTATAGGAACTTTGGCATTCATTTCTGCTGCATGATTGAGTTTATTTTTCTAGGATGGAAGATTTGACAAACCCAGAGGATATCCGAACAAACATCAAATGTGACCGGAAGGTGTCACTTTATGGTTATTTAAGAGGAGCACACTTGAAAAATAAAAGCCAAATTCACATGCCAGGTATTCTCTTGTAGTACATACTAGAATTACACATAGGATTCTTGGGATGACTTCATTTCTCAGGAAAACCGAAAAATGACCAAACAAGGGAAGATGGCCTCGCTGGAGGTTTTTAAAGTAACCCAGATATGTGTAGGCCTGCAAAGGTGTTATCAAATCCCCTCTTCTCTGACCTCTTGTCTTGTAGCTAGAGGACCACTGTTCCAGTGTGGCACAATGCCCTTCTTTAGTGTCATGGGTTAAGCCCTTGGACTATGGCTCGTTTTTAACCCCCCAGTCAACAGTAGATACTTCTGACTTCTTGTCAGCTGAAGCTTGCTTTTGGATCCTGTCTTCCAGGGGTAGGAGATTTTGCTGTGAGTGACATCAGTTTCCTCCCAGACCCTTGTGCTCTTCCTGAACAACAAAAGAAGCGCTGTTTAAATGAGAAGGAGAAGCTGGTTTATGCGCCTCTTTCTGGAGTTGGGGGTGTGCTGTATGACAAAGACGCTGTCTATGTTGACCTTGGTGGCAGCCACGGTTTTCAGGTATCGGTGAGATGGGCGTCATTTCTCTGAACTCTCATTATTCTTTCTGAGTCTATTTTTTAATCACAAAAAATAATGTAGTCAGCTTTTATTTATTGAAGATTTTTCTCTTGTACTTATAATAAAGGCCCAAATGCATATTGTAAATATATAGGATAAAAAAAATACTTTTTTTTCATTGTACCAAGCAGAAGAGTCCTGTCCTCCATTCCTCCTTGATCCATGGCCCCAGCGCGGGCCCTGCTGCCATGTGGTGCCTGCATGGCCCATCCCCGTTTCTACAAAATCAGTGTGCTTGCCAGCTCTCATTGGTCTTTTTCTCATTCACAATGGTCTCCTCATTCTGTATTTTAAAGTGGATTTCAAGTATTAATTTCTTAGTTCTGAAGTGGAATTTTATTGGGTTAAAATTAGGGTTATTTTAAAATGTTAGAAGAGCTAGCATTGTTGTAGCATTGGAGCTGAGGTTTTTCTACCTAGGTGTATAGGTTATCAGGTTACATACTCCCTGAACTTTGGAAAAGTTTAATGGAGATGGGGATCCATTTTAAGCTTTGTTGTAAGGATTTTCTTCTCTGCTTTTTGAGGCATTAAGAAAGGTTCTTAGGAAATGTGTCTAAGATAATTTTGAGAAACTGAATGAAACCAGTGTCTCTCCAGGATCTTTGTGCTTTTCTCACATGCCCTTTCTTGGTGGTCTTGACAGGACGAGGTGGGGCCCACCCATGAGCTGGTCCAGAGTCTCATCTCCACCATCTCCACCATTGATGCCAAGATGGCTTCAAGTCGAGTGACACTGTTTTCTGATTCCAAGCCACTTGGGTCAGAGGATATAGATAATCAAGGGTAAGTCTGCTTTTTTTCTATTTTTAATAAAAAGATGTATTACAGAAGATCATATCACTCATAATTCAGCCATCATAACACATTTTGGTGGGATTCATTCTATGTTGTTTTGTTTTTCTTTGTGTGTGCATGTCTCTGAGGGCTCTTCACTTACCTGCCATTACAAGGGAGTCTTTTCTTGAAATAAAATACAGGATGCATTTTTCAACAGACCCCAAATATTCCTCAAATACCACGCCATCTTCCATAGGTTGCCTTTGGTTTTTTAAGAGACGTGAGGCCACTTGGCTTTCTTTTGGTGGCCAAAACACTAGAGCAGAGTCAAGGAGTTTGTGGCTGTCCAGAAGCCACATGCCTTGTCTCTGAAAGTTTTATTTAGATTATGCTGTATTATCTCCCATGGGTAGGTTTCCATGGACGTATGGCTTATGTGAATTATTTTTCAGTCTGGGTTGGGAATTTGTATACCTTTATACATAGTCGATGTTTGCAAAACATTGGTTTTGTTGTATTGATTTATGACTCCCAGTAAAATTTATCTGAAAATTTTGAGATTATCTAGTTTGTAATTTGTTACAATGTGCATAAACTACCTAGCAGAATGCCTGACAGATACGAAGTGTTCGCCGAAAGATCACTCCTTTATAATGAAGTTACTAGCAATTTTCATTTTTGTATATCCTTCTAGTCATCTTTATCTAAAGAATACTCTATTCTACTATAGTTACAGTTAAAATACATAATTTTATTTCTATATTCTGAGCATTTCCTTTTTCTGTACAGTCTTTATGTAGTCACCATTTTGTTATTATTGGTATATTCTTTTTTGTGTGTGTGACAAGATCTTGCTTTGTCTCCCAGGCTAGAGTGCAGTGGTATGATCTGGGCTCACTTCAGCCTTGAACTCCCAGGCTCAAGTGGTCCTCCCGCTTCAGCCCCCAAGTAGCTGGGACTACAGGAGTGCGCCACCACTCCCAGCTAATTTTTTTTTTTTCTAGAGATTAGGTCTCACTGTGTTTCCCAGGCTGGTCTTGAACTCCTGGGCTCAAGCAATCCTCCTGCCTTAGCCTCCCAAAGTCCTGGGATTACAGATGTGAGGCACTATGCCTGGCCTATTATTGCTATATTCTAACTTATCCATCTCTTTTGGTGTGATTTTCAGTTTTTTCAAATTTATGTTTTCATAATTTTATATATCTTGCTACATTAAATAGCTTCATACAGTTTTCTTTTATACTGTGATTTTAGCCTCCTGATGATTCTTCTCTATCAGATATGACACTGGTGACTTAAAATGGATGTTCTTCCTCTGTCATTCCTCCTACATTTGTTAGCTGGCATTTTTAACAAAGAGCTTTCACTTCTACCCTTTATTTCCGTATCACTGCTGACTAATGCACTTGCGTTTTGTTCCATGGGTTATTTTCCATCACTATCATTATTCTTCCTGATGCCTATGCTGTCCCAGATTTGGCCGCAGGAGCCTTCAGCCTGTCTCCTGTGTCCTTTCAACTGTCTCTGTTAGTCTTTGAGCATTTCTTACTTTCTGACAGAACAAGAGGATCCAGGCTCATTTTGCCCTCTTTCTGCCTTGGGCCTGGACTCAGCCATTTCTCTTAAGGATCATGTATTTTTAGCTTAGAAATTAATCAGCTTTCAAAAAAATCTGCAAAACACTAACTTCCCTTTTGAGCAATTTTTTTCTAAAATTAGATTTTTGTTTTTTAAGGGTTATTCCTTTATTCTCTCTCTAAGTTTTTTTGAAGTGTGGTGTTAGGGAACCATGTCCGAGTTTGCTTATTAATTCTTCCAATGTTTATCAGATCATTTTTTCCCTATGCTATGTCATCTTAAACAATTCCTTGACATTTTCTGTTTCTTTGTATTTTTCATTGACTGTATTGCCATTTGTAGATTAGCTGATTAATGTACAAATTGAATTATTTTGTATTTCCTTGGTAATACAGGCTATTGATGCCAAAGGAGGAAAAACAAATGGACTTAAAAACTGGGCGAATGCGTCGGAAAGCCATTTTTGGAGATGAAGATGAATCTGGAGATAGTGATGATGAAGAAAATGATGAAATATCCGAAGATGACGAGTTGGAAAACGGCTCTAGTGATGAGGAAGCAGAAGAGGAGGAAAATGCTGAGATGACTGATCAGTATATGGCTGGTAAGGGCGTCAAACGATGGAAACTTGAAGAGTTGGAAGAAGACAGTGAAATGGATTTGCCAGCATTTGCTGACAGTGATGATGACCTTGAGAGGAGCTCAGCGGAAGAAGGGGAAGCAGAGGAAGCTGATGAAAGCAGTGAAGAAGAGGACTGCACTGCAGGAGAGGGGGGCATTTCAGGATCAAAGGCTGTTGGAGAAGGTAGTAAAGCAGGGCTGTCGCCAGCTAATCGCCAGAGTGACCGTGTGAATCTGGAGAAGTCTTTGCTGATGAAGAAAGCAGCTCTCCCCACTTCCGATTCTGGGCATTGCACAGCTGAAGAGGCGTTTGCATCTGAAGATGAATCTGAAGAAAGCTCCTCACTCGGTGCAGAGGAAGAGGACTCAGAAAATGAAGAGGCTGTTAGAAAAAAGCTTTCAAAGCCTTCTCAAGTGAGCAGTGGTCAGAAACTGGGGCCAAGGAACTTAATTGATGAGACCAGTGATATAGAAGATTTACTCAAAGAGGAAGAAGATTACAAGGAAGAAAATAATGATTCCAAAGAAACCTCAGGTGAGCTTAAATTTAGTTGGTTGCTGCTATCAACTTGGCTCTCGAAATGGTACCCAATGGAATGTCTCCATTTGGGGGTCTGTTGATTCTGTGATTTTGTTAACTGTTGAAATGCTGCATTGTGGATGGATCTTGAGGGAGGGGAGACATGTAAACAAGCCTAACTGGAGGTTGGCTTTGGTCGTTTCAGGTGCCCTCAAGTGGAAGGAAGACTTTTCCAGAAAGGCAGCTGAGGCCTTTCTGAGGCAGCAGCAAGCAGCTCCAAACCTCCAAAAGCTTATTTATGGGACAGGTAAAGAATTCTGGCTCAGAGCTGGAAATGTTTTAGTTTCTCTGATTATTTAGATGAGGGAATTGGTTGGAGGATTGGGCTGGTATTGTTGACATCCATAATTGCTGTCCATCACATTTCATGTTTGACGGATGTCTCTAATCATCAGCTTATGAGGACTACAGATTGGTCTTATAACGTAGACTTAATGGGTTTGCTGTAAAACTTGATGCAAATGCTGTCCATTGCATTATGTTATGTTCCCTATTTAAAAGTCCTTCATGAGAATTTTTTTGTAGATTAGTGCCAAAAAAATATTTCTGCCCATAAAAATATTTACTTTTTTGCTTTCTGAGAATTAGAACACTGTATAACACATTTTGTTCTCCCTTTTGCCCTTGTCCTCTGATTTTATGCTTTACTAAACTTACCTATATATTCTTTCTGGTAGAATTAATGCAAAAATAAATATATAGTGATGAACTTTACATTGTACTCCCTGCTTACTGCATGGGGAGATCAAGGCCACATGGTGAGACTTTTGGGCTCAGCCCAGTGAATTGGGAAGATTGTTGTATACTGTTTTTCATTCAGGTTTTGTCTAGGTACTCTTAGTGATGAGAAGCTCAATATTCTTTAGCGCTCTTCTTTAGTAATCTAAAGCTCAGCCTTTAAATGTCCCTTCCCTCCCTCCACCGCCAATATTCTCACTCCTTCTCAGCCTCTTAGCTGCTGCTGTGCAGGAGCGCAGGAGCCCCACACATGTACAGCAATATCTTCCTGGCTCTCTTAATCTGTGACTGCCCTGCCCTCTCAATGCCTAACTCATATGTGGCTATTGCCATACCCATCACAGACAGAGGCCCTCAGTTCCTGAGTTCGAAGACTCATGGCCTAACTGGTTAAAAATGATGGGTCTTCTAGGGCTGTAGTTTTTGTTCTCACTTTTCTACCATGGTGTCCTCTTTAGTGGCAGAAGATAATGAAGAAGAAGATGGTGATACCCAAGAAGAGCTTGGAGGGTTGTTTCGTGTCAACCAGCCTGACAGAGAGTGTAAGCATAAGGCTGACTCTTTGGACTGTTCTAGATTTCTTGTGGAGGCCCCCCATGACTGGGATTTAGAGGAGGTAAGGCTGGGTAGTACATTTGATTTATTAGAGAATTAGAGAATTGTTCTAGAATAAGATTATCTGATGTCAATATTGCTTACCTGTTGTTGGCTTCTCATTTTTACAGGATTACAGGTCATTCTTCCAGATATTGCAGTGGGCACTTCATGCATCCTAAACAGTAACATGTTCTGAGTTTAGTTAGACCATGTACGTGGCCCACGGAGGACAGGTTCAGCTTCCAGTGTGGACAGTAGTGTGCATCTTTATTTTGAAGCATCACACATAGGTTTTTATACATCAGATGTATTTTGTGTCTTATCACTAGGATATACGTAGCACCCTTGAGTTAACATTTATAGTTCCTGCTGTTTGTAAGCATAGAGAAATCTGTGATACCTGTAAATGTTCTTCCTGCAGCTCACCACTTTGTAATCACACTGGAATTCATTCAGTACTCAAACTCACCACAGCTCACCCTCCTCTGAGACCTCTTCTCTTTCTCTCTCTCTCTTTTTGAGATATGGTCTTGTTCGGCAGCCCAGGCTGGAGTGTAGTGGCACAAGCCTACACTCAATGCACAAGTGACTCAATGCAGCCGCAGCCTCCTGGGCTCAAGAGATCTTCCCATCTCAGCCTCCAGAGTAGCTGGGACTATAGGCATGAGCCACCAGGCCTGATTAATTTTTGCATTTTTTGTAGAGATAATGTTTCACCATGTTGAGCTACTTTCGAACTCTGGGTTCGCGTGATCTTCCTGCCTTGGAACCTCCCAGAGTGCTGGGATTACAGGAGTGAACCATCACGCCAGCCCCTTTCTCTGTATTCCCATCTGGAATATTCTGATCTTCCAAAGGCTGCCTTCTCTTTTGTCAATTCAGTTTGGCTTAGATGTCACTTCTCACAGAGGCCCAATTGCTATCATACTGCCTATTGTAATTCGCCAGATAACAGTGCACTTTATGAGATTTTATTTAACCATTCTTTTTGGTGAAATTTAATACAGATGTAGAAAACCACGTAAAAACAATTGTTTAGCTTAATGGGTTGCCAGAAGGTGAATACCCCTGTACTCAACACTCAGGCTGGGAAATCAAGCTTTGCTGCTCAATTGTGACACCAGCCACAGTCCCCTTCCTCCCTGTAGAAGGAGGTGTGGTCCAGCCTCTTAAGGTGATGCTTTCCTTTTCTTCCTGGTTTCTTCCTCCATGCTTCTATAAGCATCACAGTTTACTTTTACCTGATTTTCCTTACTGATTTTCAGTCTTATCTTTTAACATTTTTAGTGAACAGTCTTTCCTTCCCATTTCTTTTTTTGGTTACATTTTATTTAATAAACCAAGTCTTTGGTCTGTAGAGTTTCTTGTATTCTGGACTTTGTGGATTGCTTTGCATCCCTCTGCAGTTTCACAGGCCCTCCTGTATTTCCTGTGAGTGGGTACTGAGCAATACTAATAGAACTTCTGTGATGAGCGGAATGTATATCTGAGCTGTGGGTTGTGGCTACTTGTGGCTACTAAGCTCTTTAAATGTGGCTAATGAGACTGGAGAACTAAATTTTAAATTTTATTTAATCTTTGTTAAGATTAATTTAAATAGCCACGTATTTGTAGTTACCCTGTAGACAAAACATCTAGCGGTTGGACAGGATTTAAATTTGATTTTTATTTTTCAGCAAAACTGCTTCCTAAGTGGTGGTGTTTTCTCATTAGGAGGCGCATAAAGATTGGTTGTGTCCTTTTAATGATGTTAGATGTTATCAGTTGTTGGTGCTCAATGCCTAGAACCATCAATTTCTTAAGAACGTAGAGTGGTGATGTTCTATTCAATCATTTCTCTTTATGTATTAGCTGTAATACTTTAAAGAGAAACTTTTCCTCTTCTACTATTTGGTTATTCACTTCCATGTATGTAGGGTAAATGCTTGATTTTTTTTTTTTTTTTTTTTTTGAGACGGAGTTTCGCTCTGTCACCCAGGCTGGAGTGCAGTGACACGATCTTGGCTCACTGCAAGCTCTGCCTCCCAGGTTCATGCCATTCTTCTGCCTCAGCCTCCCAAGTAGCTGGCACTACAGGCTCCCGCCACCATGCCTGGCTAATTTTTTATATTTAGTAGAGATGGCATTTCACCATGTTGGTCAGGCTGGTCTCAAACTCCTGACTTTGTGATCCACCTGCCTTGGTCTCCCAAAGTGCTGGGATTACAGGAGTGAGCCACTGCGCCCGGCCCATGCTTGATTTTTTAATCAGTTTTTGGAGTGATTCTCCAAAGGATACTTGTTTGTGAGTATCACTGTGATGTCATGGATATAAATGTAGTTGATGTGCCTTGTGCTCCTGCACCTGTTATCCGTTATTGAAGCTCCTCTTTATCCCACCTGTGGCCTGTGAGCGTCTGTGCACACCAGCTCCTGAGTCCTTGTGTTACAATCGTAGTCGTTCTGGGTCAATTCTTGCTCTGTGATATGAGAGAGCACTTGGAATCACCCATAAGAAGTCCTGATTTCTTTTAGTACAAAATGGTATTTCAACATGACAGCCTAGGCATAGGAATGCTTACTGCCATGAGTTGGTCATTACTTCTAGGCCTTCTCAGCTACCCGAACCAGGAGAGTTCTTATAGATATTTCCAGTTCACATTCAGGACTACATCTTACTCATTCTTCCATTGGAGAATTATTCCTTGGTTGAATCAGAAGATGATGAAATTAGAGAATCGCATAATTATTCATTTGCTTTATACTCTCTCATTTCTCTTTTCAAAAGTGACTGTGCCATTTTACTTACTCACTGGCACTGTATGTGGGTTCCAGTTTCACCACTTCTTCACCAGCACTTGTTATTATCTGTCTTTTTGATTATAGCCATCCTAGAGGGGGTGAAATTGTGTCTCATTATAGTATTGACTTGCATTTCCCTGATAATGATGTTGAACATCTTTTCATGTGCTTATTGGCTATTTGTATATATTCTTCATATTGTTTGCCCATTTCAAAAATTGAATTACTTAGTTGTATGCGTTGTTTATATATTCTGGATGTAAGTCCCTTATCAGATACATAATTTACAAATATCTTCTCCCATTTTATAGGAATTAAGTTTTCAAACAGACAGGTTTAGATTAACAAATAGCAAGACCAACTTTGTAAACTACTGTCTCATTAGTTTCTAAGGCATCGCCTTAGAAACCTTAATACAATTGAAAATTAGTTGAATTAGTAATTATCTGTTTGTTTACTTACGAGGTTAGTAGACTAGTAGTATTTAATACTTTCCCTATCTGCTGCTTAATGTGTTTTATCTCTGTGGTTATACTGTCTCCATCAAAGGTAAAGTTATTTCCTGGGCTCTTTGGAATGAGAATATTCATGAAGGTGGGAAATATTTAAAGGCAAGTCGTTGCCTACTGCCATTTCTTAGAGTTGTTTTGCTGAGTGATTGGAACATCTCACCTAAGTGCTGACTTTTCTGCGTAAGGTTATGAACAGTATCAGAGATTGCTTCGTGACTGGAAAGTGGGAAGATGATAAAGATGCAGCCAAGGTCTTAGCAGAAGATGGTAAGTGAAGAGCTGGGTTCTTCAGGAAGACTGGCTTCTCTAAACTTTATTTTCTTCTGTATCTTAGACAATAGTCAAATTGAAAATCATAGTCACTTGTGAAATGCTTTGGGGAATTCAGACAGGAGTAATGAGCCAGGTAATATTCCGGATTTTCCTTTTATGATGATCTTATTTTCTCAGTTGGCTAACTGATTTACTACATATGGACCTTAAAAGTGAGAAACTTTCCATAAATTTTAGTCATGTGTTTGTTAAAAATAGATTTTGTGTGATGTGAAAAATACATACAAATGGCATTTATGTTTTTCTTTTCATAATAAAGGTAGTATGCATTGTAGAAAATTTAGAATGAAAAATACATAACATACCAGAATTCTACTAACCCTTAAAAAACCTTCGTTAACCTCTTCAGTAGTTTCCTTCTAGTCATTTAAAAATCATGTGTATAAACCTTTTTAGTTGTACTTTATATAATTTTTGGCAGGAGGATTGCTTAAGTGATGTACTTTGTATAAATTTTGTCATTAAATTTTTTCAAAGATTTCATATTTATTATTTAAATATCATACCATTATTGAAGTCGTAGTTTTTTCAATATCTAAGTAGTTTTGTACTTTGCTCATTTTATAAAGAACTCCACACTGAACAACTTTGAAATAATTCCTGGCTCACGCTTTTTATTTTCATAAGATAGATTCATAAGTGTTATAATTGAGTCATTTTTATGGATTACACTGCCACATGGTTTCTTGGAAGGTCATTCTTTTCGTTTTGTCTTGAGACAGGATCTCGCTCTGTTACCCAGGCTGGAGTGCTTTGGTGTGGTCATGGCCCACTGCAACCTCAGCGTCACAGACCCAAGCCTCCTGAGTAGCTAGGACTACAGGCTTGCATCACTACACCCAGCTAATTTTAATTTTTTTTGTATAGACAGTCTTTTTATGTTGCCCAGGCTGGTCTCAAACTCCTAGGCTTAAGAGATCCTCCTGCCTTAGCCTCCTAAGTAGCTTGAACCACAAATGTATACCACCATGCCTGGCTAATTTTTAAATAGTTCGTACAGATGGGGGTCTTGCCATGTTGCCTAGGCTGGCCTTGAATTCCTGGGCTTAAGCAATCCTCGCACCTTACCTCGCACCTTAGCCTTCCAAAGCGCTGGGATTATAGGCATGAGCCACTGTGACTAGTCTGTAGTATGTGAATGTATTCTTTATATATATATATATATATATATTGTCTGGGCTTTCAGGTTAATATCATTGATCTCTGTTGGTTCATTTATTATTACTATAATTTAGTACTCTATGTAGCTTTATCATGTTATTAAGACCCCAGTTATTAAAACTGTGTCTCAACAGTTTCTTTCTCTTTTTATTCTGCTAGGGGCTTTTTTAAGCATTCTCCTGACTATTCTCACTTGCTTATTGTTTTTTCCACAGGAACTTGAGAATCGTCTTTTGTTTTCAAAAGAAAGTGTGGTGGGTTTCTTTTTTAATCACTTTAGTGAGGTATAATTGATGGTAAACTACAGTGTTTAAAGTGTACAATTTGATAAACTTTAATATGTGAGTATACCGTCGCCACAATCAAAATAATGAACACATTTATCACCCTCACAGTTTACACCACTGTGTAACCCTCCATCCTGTCCTCTTCCATCGCCAGGTACATTCAGCTGCCTTGTGTCACTATTCAGTAGGTTGTGCCCTTTAGAATTTAATCGAAATGGGATCCTACAATATGTGCTCTTTTCTGTCTGACTTCTTTTACTCAGCATGATTATTTCAAGATTCATCCATGCTGTTACATCTTTATTTCTTTTTGTTGGCTAATGGGTAGTCCATTGTATGATGTATAGCAGTTTATATATCTGTTAACCTGTTAAACAATTATTTCCAGGTTTTGGCTATTATGAGTAAGGCTGCTGTGAACATTTTTGTAGAAGTCTTTATATGAACCACTTTTATTTCTTTTGGGTAAATAAGTAGTTCAGAATGGACTAAATGGGTCATATGATAGGTACACATTTAATTTTTTAAGAAATTACCCAACTGTTTTCTAAAGTGTTTACAGCATTTTCTATTGCCACCATAACTTTATGTGACTTCTGGTTGCTTCACTCTTACATCTTTGCCAGTACCTGGTAGTATCAGTCTTTTTAAATTGTAGGCTTTCTTTTAGGCATAGAGTGGTATCTTGAAGTTTTAGTGACTAATGGTTTCGGGCATTTTTCCATGTGCTTATTTGCCATCTGTGTCTTCTTTGATGAAATATCTGTCCAAATCTTTTGCACATTATTTTAATTGGGTTGAATTCTAAGAAATTTTATGTATTTTTGATACAAATTCTGTATGACATGTGATATGCAATTATTTTTGCCTAGTGTGTGCCTTGTCTTTTCTATTTTTAATAGTGTTTTTCACAGAGCAAAGTATTTAATTTTGGTGTAGGTCAATTTATCAAAACAATTTTTTTTGGGGGGAATGGAGTCTTGCTCTGTCTCCTAGAGTGCGATGCGATCTCAGCTAACTGCAACCTCTGCCCACTGGGTTCAAGCTGTCCTCCTGCCTCAGCCTCCCAAGTAGCTGGGATTACAGGCGCCCGCCATCATGCCTGCCTAATTTTTGTATTTTTAGTAGAGATGGGGTTTCGCCATATTGGTCAGGTTGGTCTTGAACTCCTGACCTCAGGTGATCCACCCGCCTCAGCCTCCCAAAGTGCTGGGATTACAGGCATGAGCCACTATGCCCTGCCCAAAATTTTCTCTTATGGACTGTGCTTTTGATAGTGTATGAAAGAAATCGTTGCCTCACCCAACGTCACAAATTGTCTCATATATTCTATAAGTCTTATAGTTTCAGGTTTTACATTTAGGTCTATAATTCTTTTTGAGTTAATTTTTTATAGGGTGTTAGGTATGGATTTAGGTTCCTTTTGACATATTGATATCCACTTTTCCCAGCACCTTCTGCTGATAAACTATTTTTTTCCCTATTGAATTGCCCTGTATTGGTTGGCCATATTATGGGTGCATATTTCTGGGCTCTCTGTTCTGTTCCATTGATATATTTGTTTATTTTTATACCAATACCAACACTGTCTCTGTTACTTACAGCTTTATAATTAGTCTTGGAATTGGGTAGTTTTTAACTTTAGGTAGTTTTTCAAACTTTAGTCTCCTTTTCAAAATTGTTTTGGTTAATCTAGGTTCTTTGCATTTTCATATAAATTTTAAGATGAACATGTCAATTGCTATAAAAAAGCCCACTGCAATTTTGATTGGGATTTCATGGAACTTGTAAACAATTTGGGAAAATTGACATCTTAACCACATTGAGTTTTCTGATCTATGAACATAGTAACTCTCCATTTATCTTGTTCTTTACTTTCTCTCAGCAAGGTTTTCAGGATTCAGGTCTTATATCACTGTCAGCAATTTATTTTCATATCTACTTGTGTTTATGTATGGCTAATATATAAGAAATGCAGTTGATTTTTTTATATTGGTCTTGTATCCTGCAATCTTGCTAAATTACTTGTTCTTTTTTTTTTTTTTTTTGAGACAGAGTCTCATTCTGTCACCCAGGCTGGAGTGTAGTGGCATGATCTCAGCTCACCGCAGCCTCTGCCTTCCAGGTTCAAGCAATTCTCGTGCCCCAGCCTCGCGAGTAGCTGAGATTACAGGCAGCCACTACCACGCCTGGCTAGTTTTTTTATTTTTAGTAGAGACGGGGTTTTACCACGTTGGCCAGGCTAGTCTGAAACTCCTAACCTCAAGTGTGTGTTTGGAGGGGAGGGGTAAACTTTGACTAAACAGTATTCATGGTTTTCTAAGTAAATACTTCTTACTACCCCAAGGATTCTTTTTTTTTATGCTGCTTTTTCTCCTGTTCTGCCTGGGCTTCCAAGTTCTGCTTTGACCTTTCACCCTGGTCCAATCTCATATGGTTCCCCCAGTTTCTGTGCGGGATGGTTCTGGGAGCCAAGCAGGATTCTCTTTATCTACAGAAAGGCTGAGATAGATCCCAGTGGTTTTACTTTCTTTCTTTCCTATCTGGATGACTTAATTTTTCTTGCCTTACTGCCCTGGCCTAAACTTCCAGGACAGTGTGGGTTAGAAGTCAAAGTAAACATCCTTGCTTTGTCCTGATTTTGCTTATTTTCCACGTGAACTTAAGAATCGCCTTTTCTGGGCGCAGTGGCTCACGCCTATAATCCAATACTTTGGGAGGCCGAGGCAGGCAGATCACGAGGTCAGGAGTTTGAGATCAGCCTGGCCTGGTGAAAGCCTGTCTCTACTAAAAATACAAAAATTAGCTGAGCATGGTGGCACATGCCTATAATCCTAGCTACTCAGGAGGCTGAGGCAGGAGAATTCCTTGAACCCAGGAGGCGGAGGTTGCAGTGAGCTGAGATCGCACCACTGCAGTCCAGCCTGGGCAACAGTGCGAGACTCCGTCTCAGAAAAAAAAAAAAGAATCACCTTTTCTATTTCCAAAAGAAAAGTTTGTGGTACGTTTTTTCCTAATTAAACTTTTAAGTTTGAGGTAATTGTAGATTGACATGCACTTGTAAGAACGAATACAGAGAGATCTCCTGTATCTTATACTATAGCACTATCTATATATATGTACTGTGTATACTGTGTGTACTGTAATACAAGGTCACAGCCTGGATGCCAACATTGATACAATCTGCTGATCCTCTGTAGATTTTTCCAGTTTTGCCTGTGTGTGTGTGTGTTTTACGTTTGTGCGTATATACTTCTGTGCTCTTTTATCACATGTGTAGGTTTGTGTGTCTACCAACAGTTAAGATACAGAGCAGTTCCATCACAAGAATCGCTTGTATTGCTGTTTTATAAACACACCCACGCCCCTGCTGTTCCCCAGCCCCCAGTTCCTTCCCTTGTGAACCATAATGTGTTTTCTGTTTCTACAATTTTGTCATCTTCAAGAATGTTAAATAAACAGAATATAACCTTTTGTGAGGGGCTTTTTTTCACTCAGCATAATTTCCTGGAGATCCATTCAAGTTGGTACATATACCACAGTTCATTCCTTTTTATTGCTGAGTAGTGCTGCATTATGTGGATGTACCGGTTTGTTTAACCATTCATCTAAGATCAAGCTGGATTGTTTTCAGTTTGTTTTGTTTTGTTTTCAGACAGGGTCTTGCTCTGATGCCCAGTCTGGGTGCAGTGGTGTGGTATTGGCTCACTGTAGCCTCGACCTCCTAGGCTCAAGTAATCTTCCCACATCAGCACCCCCAAGGAGCTGGGACTACAGGCATGCACCACCGTGCCTGGCTAATATTTTTTTATTTGTTTGTTTGTTTTATAGAGACAGGATCTTGCTGTGTTGCTCAGGCTGGTCTTGAACTCCTGGCCTATTTTCAATTTTTGCCTGTTAGAATTGAGCTACTATGAACATTTGTATA